CGGGGGAGACTGCCAGCCCGTTTTACTTTGGAACTTGGTTAATGCCCATGGTGGAAACACCGACAAAGATGATGGAGTCAAGTTTGGTATTCCAATGAAGTCATGAATTCAGATTCTGTGAAGGCAAAAGTTCTGTAATTTTACTGTGGAGGGAATGAAACCTTTCGAATTGGCCAGCTATAAAGAAAGAACTGGTATGAGATAAAAGTTCATTTCTTAAAGTAAATCTCAAGTAGACATTCTATTATGCTAAATACTTCCTAGTTTATTGTTTATTGATTCAACATACATGTATGACAAGTGCTTAGGGAGATGGGGGGCTTAAAAAAAGTGAAGGAAACTCTGATTCCCATCACACTTGTAATTATAATGATTATGAAAGTAACTGAGTTCTCATGATTTTAAAAATATACTTTTTGCCCAGCTGGCATGGTTGAGCATTGACCTAAGAACCAAGAGGTCACAGTTTGATTCCCAGTCAGGGCACATGCCTGAATTGCGGGCTTGATCCCCAGTGTGGGGCACACAGGAGGCAGCTGATTAATGATTCTCTCTCATCGTTGATGTTTCTATCTCTCTCTCCCTCTCCCTTCCAATCTGAAACCAATAAAAATATATTTAAAAAATATCCCCCTCGCCCCCCGAAGATTAAACATTTGTCAACAATGCAGGGAGTCTAAATCTGTCTAATTAGTGAGGCCTGATGATGGGCGGCCATAGCCCGGATTGGCAGTCAGGATGGCTGGGTTCAAATCCCAGCGTTCCACTTAAAATCTTGGGTAAACTCTTTTACCTCTGACGAGCTCACTCAGTTTTCTCATCTGTCACATTGTAGAAGCACTCTTCCTACAGAGTCCTTAATAACAACGTCCCTTTTAAGGTGTAAAGTCCCGGACAGATGAAAGGGGCGATTAGAATCATTATTGCAGGAAGCCCAGGAATGGCGTCCACCGTCTCACCGTCTGGTGGAAGTCGATGTCTGGCAGGAAGCAGGAGAGTGAGAGAAGCAGGATGGAGATCGCAGACACAGAGGCAGCCGTGCCAAGGGCAGCTCGCCCGAAGCCCAACTCAACTGCTCGACTGCCACACATCCCCACGCACGGCTCTAAATCGTTGGAGGAGGAAGCCCAGGCCAGTCTGCACACTCGTTTGGCTGCAGGCAGTTATAAGAGGTGAGCCCTCCCACCCTTCATTCCCAGCTCTGTCTGGGCAGGGTGGCTGGCTGAGCGGGGGAAGGAGGTAACAGGGTACCCCCAGAGCTCCCCCTGGAAGACAAAGCCCCGTCCCCTCAGCTCTCAGCTTGCATCCTGGAGCTGTGACCTGGCTGCTCTAAGGTCTCCTCTCTCCTACCATCTTCTTGAGGGTCAGTCCACCACCACCTCCTTCCTGTCATCTTTGAGCTCACCTCCCTCATGCTGAGCAGCTGCTGTGCTTAAAGTTAGTATAATCCAGGTGTCATTGCTTCATGTGTGCTGCTCCCCCTTCCCAATCCTCATCACAAAATTTAATCTCAAACCATTATTTAGGCATTTTTTAAGATAGCCCATCAACCTGGCACCTTGCATGGATAAGACCTTTAATAAACAGTGAAATGCAGAGTTTTTCAAACTCGAGTCGTGATCTTTGAAAGGAAAACTGAAGTCCTCACAATCCCTGAGAAGGCATGGGGCAACCCTGAAAGGAGAAATAATGGGGTGGTCCAAAGAGCATGGGAAGGGAGTCACCAGACTGTGACTGTGTGACCTTGGGCAAATCATGGCCAGATCACCTCCCCAAACATGGTAGCAATTCACACTCCCAGCAGCAGAGTCCGAGTGTCCAATTTAGATCAGTGGCTTTCGAACGCAGCAACACAAAGACCTATTCAAAAGGAAATTCAAAGACCAGCCGTGTAAATTGCCTAAAGATTCCCCAGGCCTTTGGACACTTCTTTGCTGGCAAAGTCCCAGAAACACCTCATCATCGCCCTGGAACCACTGCCCCCCTGGGGTTCCAAGTCTAGATCACACAGAGTGCCTCCCTTCATCATTGTACTTGTCGGTTGACTGGGCTGGAAATTGAGTGGATTGGCAGATAGAGTGGGTGGGTGGGGGCTAGGCTTTCCTTAGACTCCCAAACTATTGGAGGCAGGAGCTGGGATGGAGAAGCCCTGACTAGGCAAAGCCTCTGAAGGAACTGGCCCAAAGCAGAGGCTGGAGTATCAGAGGCCAGCCAGCCAGTGTGCCCCCAGCACAAATCTGCTATTGGGAAAAGTGCCCCCTGATAAGGGTCTCTCGCAGCTCTTTTCCCTCCCATCACTCCATTAAACAAGCATTGACTACGGGCCTATGCAGAGTTGCCAGACACTAAACTTTGCGCTGGGAATTCATCACACAACCTCTGCCTCTAAGAATGTTGCTGGCTCTTGAGGAGCCAGTGGGTACAGGTGGGATAGCCTGGAATGACGGCAGGAACTCAGGAAGGCCCGTGACCCAGACTTAAGGAAAGGAGAGGGGGCGGTTTCTTGGAGGAGTTGATCCACATGGTCAAAACCAGAAGTGCAAGCGGGAGCTAGCTAGGTGGCGGGACTGGGCAAGAACATTTTACAGGGAAGAAACAAGTATTTCTACGTTCAAAGGTAGCAGGACAAAGTGGAAGCGCCAGGGGCAGAGCTGAGTTCAAATCCTCGCTCCCTCCTCCATTTGCTATCTCCTCCTCTGATCATCACACATACCCTGCAGGGCTGCGCTGAGAATTAGATGAGATAATGGATAAAAAACACTGGGCACAGTGCACGCAGTGGATGTTATTAGATGTGAACTATTACCCATTACGCTCATCTCTAAGCTGCTTAATGACAGGTTTGCCATCATTACTTTACTCATCTTTGAAGCCTCACTGCCTGGCCCAGAGCCTTGCATTCTGTTGGCACCCAATGAATATTTATTAAGTGAATGTGGAATGCGTGTAAAAGTATATACGTAAATTTGGGGAATGAGAAGGCCATATTTTATGGCTAAAGCCCATCTACCTCTTGGTCTATACAGGCAGATGCCTGGCTTCTCAAAACTGCCTGGCAAATCCTCCCCTGACCCATGCCCAATGCACAGGCTCTCCCAACACCCACACTACATAGCAGCGCACCTTGGTGGCAGCTACCCTGCCGCAGGTCCACTGAGGCATCCGCACAGACACACGTGCACACGCTGAACGGCTGAAACAGGTTCTACCTCGCGAAGCACACAGGCTGCCATACATGTTCAATAACAAACGTCCTCCCTCTTGCTCGCCCACACCTTCGAGAGATACCCTTCTCTCTCCACCTGAGTTTCTTCTCACAGCGAGTCCAGTGAGTCCCCCATCACATCCATCCAGCTGAGACCTGGTACTTGAACTCCCAGTTGCTAAGTCTAACTTTGCTCCATTAGCTGTGGACCTCAGGGAAAGCCCTGCCCCGCTGGTGCCTCAGTTTCTTCACTGGTAAACACAGAGAGTTAACCATGCCTCATGCCCACCTGGTAGTTATGCTGTGAGGATAATGGAGATGACAAAGCAGATAATATCAGTGAGATGCAGAAAGCGCCTCAGAAGAAAGGCGCTGGATAAATAGAAGGTGCAGACACCACGCCTGGTTAGCGTATATGCCTCTGCCCACACACTTGGCTCTTTTCCACCCTGGAGCACAGACACCCTTCCCCCTGCGAACTTCGTCTCTAATACCCACTTTCACGTGCATACACATACATGCTCCCAGCCCCGCAGTTCCCCCAGCATGCCCACAGCAAATTGTTTTTGAACTTAGAGGAAGCTCAGGTTACAAACACCCTTGCTCCCACAGACGGTTCTCAAGGGTCTCTCGAGAACTGCCAAGCAGATAGCTCATCTCTCCATCCGTGGCTGGGCTCCTCTGCTCCCACGATTATAATTAGGCTGCACTTCCAGCAGAGCAGGAGCCCCTTATCTGGTGCAGCTCCTGCCAAGAGCTCCCCAGAACTCAGAGCCTCCTCATTCATTTGCCAGCACCCAAGACCAGTGTGGATGGAATGAAGAGGAAGGATGTGGGGGCTTCAGATGCTCAGGTCCCTCCCTTGTTCCTGGGAAAGGGAGGGCTCTGGAACTAACAAGGCTGGGACACTCTCCTAAGGCTGACACACTCGTGGGCGAGCAGCACACTCATTTGCTCCACGGTTCAATCCTTCCCACTTGGAGCAGGAAAGAGAAAGATCACCTGGCTCTTGTTTCGGTGCCTTAAGCATGTGGAAGGGTGTGTGTGTGTGTGTGTGTGTGTGTGTGTGTGTGTGTGTGTGTAGGAGTGCAGAGAGTGGGGGGCTGGCTGCCTGTGGTGGGTGAGAGAAGTAAGTGAATGTAGTGTGTGTGTGTTTGTGTGTGTGTGTGTGTGTTGTGTGCATGTTCAGGGCTGATCCTGGTGACTTGCAGTACCAGGGGGTCACTTAAAACCTGGGGTCATCACCCCCCTCTCTATCTACCTCATCCCCTCTGACATACTCCTCCAGGGAAATACTCCAAACCTCTAACTGCATCAGTGTCCCTGCCCCTGATGCCGACACAGCCCATCACCAAAGTTCAGAAGGCCAAGTTCAGGGGCCAGGCTTCAGCTGTCAAACCCTCTGTCTGGGGCCAGGGCCCCTCCAGCCTCACCATCACCTCTGGCTTCCTCATCTCGACACCAGTGTCACCCAACACTTATGTCTATCAGATTCGGGGCTGGGAGTAGATACACCCCGTCTGCGGGAGACAGAGATGAAGGCAGAAGGACAGACGTACCATTCTCTCCTCGGGCTGGGACCAGCCAGCAGACCCACCCTGGCGGAGGCGAGACCCTGACAGTTACGCACTGAGACAAAGACACCTAGACAGACCTGGCGCAGACAGACAAAGACCGACGGACTCGCGGACGCGCTGCACCCCTCGGGGAGCGCGGTGTCCCCGGACCCTGGGCGTCCTCCGTGGCAAGAGACCCTTACGGAAGGGAGCGAGACCCCGCGTTCACCGCTCCTTACCTGCCCCCGCGCCTCGGGCTGACTTGAGAATTATCTTTCAGGGCTTCTGCAGTTTGTTTTCGTCCCTCTTTCCTCAGGGGTGCGGGGTGG